GGAAGGAAGGAAGGAAGGAAGGAAGGAAGGAAGGAAGGAAGGAAGGAGAAAAGGAACAACCAAGTTTACAATCAATAATTTTACAATAATGAAAGTTCTAAGAATTATAGATCACTATAGGAACTAAGAGAAACTACAGAGAAAAACCTGAGATTCAAGGGAGGAAAATGAGGCTTGGAGAAGCTCAGTGCATACAGTGCTGTCACATGTGGAAGCTGCCCAAGAGAGCATGCTGCAGCCACCAAAGCTGGAAGGAGCTGCAGACCTGAAGAGCGTTTTGACATCAGACAGAGATGCAGAGTTTAGAGGTTGCCTTGCTGGTTTTCGGTCTTGCTGTGGTCTACTAATTTCCTCCCTGTGCTCCCTTTCCTCTTTTGGGATAGTAATGTATATTCTGTGCTATTGTATGTTGGAAGTAAGTGATCTGCTTTTTGATTTTGGTTTTACAGGGGTTAACAGTTAAGAGACTGTCATGAGTCTCAGAAGAGACTTTGAACTTTTAACAGTGTTGAGACTGTTACTGACTATTTGAAGTGGGGGACTTTTGAAGTTGGACTGAATACACTTCTGCATTCTGATATGGCTACAGGACTTTGTGGGCCAGGGAGTGTAATGTGGTGGTTTGAATAAGGATGCAGGTCACTGAGTGTGGACTTTGTTTCAAAATGCTCAAGTTAGGCTCAGTGTCTCTCTCTGTTTGCTGCCTGAAGCCTTGGATATGGAATTCTCAGCTACTTCCAGCACTATGTCTACCTGTGTCCTGCATGCTCTCTGCCATGGTGATAGTGGCTGAACCTCTGAAACTGTAAGCCAGCCCCAATAAAAGTTGTCACGGTGTCTCTTCACAGCAATAGAACACTGACTAAGACATCACTCAAACATGAGGACACTTAGTACCTGAGTTTAGATTCCTAGAATCCATGTAAAAGCTGGGTAGGCATGGCAGCCTACCTATAATCCCAGAGTATGGCAAGCAGAGACAAGGAATCCCTGGAACAAACTGACTAGCCAGATTAGTCAAAACAGTGTCCTTGGGCTTCTTTCTACAAGAGACCCTTCTGCCTCAGTCAATAAAGTGGGAAATGATTAGGACATCTGACATCAACCACTGGCCTCCTCCATACACAGATACACATGAGCATGCACCCTCACACACATACCAACACATGTCATTAACACATGCATGCATATCATACACACACATATACAAAAAAGAAAGAAAAATATAGGGGTCCTATCCTAGGGACATGAACCATGTCACCATGTCACTCTGTCCCCACCAGGGCCATGCCAGGTCGGTAATGTGCATACAACTAAGTGACCTCATTTACATTATCCTTTTGAATAGAGGGCAACAAATATCTATACTCACAAATACATACATCAATAGCAAATGAGTAATGCTGATTAATGGCAAAGTCAGGAAATATTACCAACAAGTTAATTGCTTGATGTTTACATCTTTATTCTTAAAATGAATTTTAAGTAATTAAGATGTTCCTTAAATTACTCATGTAATTCTTTTCCTGATTCAAAGAGGCCAATTTCAAATAACAAATACTCTTATAAAGATCCTTCATCTTGCTATATTTTGTGCTGTTATAATACAGAATCTGAAACTGGATAACTTATAAAGAAAATAGATTTATTTCTTAACAAAAAAAGAAAAATATAGAGAAAGAAATCAATGGATATGTACAACAATCACTGTATACATGAGGGAAGAATACTTTTAAAAGTCTAATTTGTATATAAAGAGCCAGCAGGGGACTGGAGAAGTTAGTAAAGGATCGAGTTCAATCTGCAGCACCTTTGTAAACAGCCATGCTTGGTTGTGAGTGCCTTAACCGTAGCACTGGGGAACAGAGACACTTAGATTCTAAGAGCTTGCTGGCAGACAGCATGGCTGAAGTAGTGAGCTTCAGGTTCAGTGATAGACCCTGCTTGAAGGAATAGGCAGAGAGTGGGACAGGAAGATCCCCAATGTCTTGCTTTGGCCTTGGTGCAGACATAATGTGCATGCATCGTACACATAA